CCTGTCTCAAAAAGACCAAGGGAAAAAAAAAAAAAAAGAGTTCGATCCCTGGTACAAAAAAATATATATATATACATATATATATGTATATATATGTATATATATATATGTATACACACACAAACAAACAACAACAAAATATATATACACACACACATATACAAATTATAAGGCAAGAACCATTAAATTGAACATGCTTAAATTCTAAGTAAAGCCAGGGGTGGTGGTATATACCTGTGAACCCAACATTCAGGAGGGCTGATGCAGGAAGATCACCATGAGGTGAAGGCTAGCCTACACAACATAGTAAAACCTTGTCATCAACATAAATAAATTCTAAGTAGTTGAAAACTTTTCGTGATTTGACTAAAAACTTTCTGAACTCTCAAGGAATATACTAGATGTTTTTCCCGCTTCATGGAGGACAAACAAATGAAAACATTTACATCCTGCTATGCGTGGTGGTGCACACCTCTAACTCCAGCACTCCAGAGGTTGAGGTAGGATGGTCACTCTGAGTTTGAGGCCAGGGCTACAAAATGAGCTCAAGGCCAGCCTAAACTTTACAGCAAAACCCTATCTCTAAAATAAAATTTTAAATTGCAGCAAGGAACATTTAGCTTTGACATGATTCTAACTAAAAATTAATTAAAACATTGATATATCGTGGAAATCTCTGCCCTTTGGGATACTAGAGTAGGATAGCTTTCAGGGAAGAGATAGGTACAACTTTACAGTAAATGCTAGAATAAACTTGAGAACCTTTAAAGCCCGTTTCCACTTTAGAATTCTAGGTTCTTTATTCCTATCCCAAAAATCAGCAAGACGTTCCACCTACAGAGTTACACTAGGGCTGGGGTTTTAGCTCTATGGCTTAAGTGCCTGCTTGGGTCCCTGGTACCAAAAAAAAAAAAAAAAAAAAAGTTGTTACACTAATACATATGACATTTCAGTCTGGCTTTTGGGTTGTTTTTGTTTGTTTTTTTGGTACTGGAACTCACACACCTTGTGCTTGCCAGGCAGGTGCTTCACCACTGAGCTAAACCCCCAGTCCTCAGTCTGGCTTTTGGATATTGGGGTTTTAGCCAGGGAGTTAACTCAGTAGTGTACTTGCCTGTCTGGCAAGCACAAGCTGGTGAGTTCAACCTGCAGTACCAACAAGTAAAACATTGGGTTTATTTTGCAGCACATCATTTATTCACTTAGGAAGTGAAAACTGCCAACCTTTATTAAGAGGCAGTCTACCAATATCCAGGAGTGTGGCTGAAGGTTCAGATATAAACACTACAAAAATGCTCAAATGAAAACAATAGTTGGTTCTAAATTAAACAGGGACTGACACTATAGCTCAGCTACATGGGCCTGCCTGGCAAATGCGAGTTTGATTCCTGGTTCTAAAAATAAAAAAAAAATAAATTAAACAAATAGAAATACTACACAAAAATTTTGTCAGCCTTAATTTAAAAAATGAGTATTAGCAGAATACATAGCCTACAAGGTGGAAATGCTGGATTTAGTCTGTTTTTCAATAATAACCGCTTACTTTTGAAAACTGACATAATTTTCTCATAATTTTAGATTAAGTCTTTATTTCAAAATGATTTTAACTTATTTTACTATTTTTAACAGTCATCAGACAATCCAATAATTGTTTATTATAACTCAAAGCAGGCACTTATGAAAGTCACAGGAAGGTCAATCATCTCCATTTCAAAAGGTCAACCACTACACAGCAATTTGGAGGGGTTTTTTTTTCTCAAATTCTATTAGGGCTATTTCAAGAGTTTCCAAAGTTAGACATTAAATGACACCACCCACATACATACACACACACACACACTACATAGCCCTGGCAGGCCTCTCCAGGTGATGCACCACCATGCCCAGTTTAGACTCTATTTACTTCAGTAATACACACATACTTGGTTAAGGATACATGCATGTATATACGTATGTACTCATCTAGAGTTTATTATGCTGTGTACTATATTCATTTTCTAAAAAATTCTGTCAAGACTTAAGACAATATAGGCACCATATTACAATATTGGATAACAGAGTTAACTAGTTCACCCGGAGGCCAGGCTTGATGAAGGCATTTCAAATCCCAGCTCTTTGGAGGATGAGGAAAGCAGACCCTAATTTCAAGGTCATTTGAAGCTTCACAATGAGTTCAAGGCCAACTTGGACTACAAAAACAAGACCCTATCTCAAAACAACGAAAAAAAAAAGTCAAGCCTTCCTGTTCTTAATTCAAAAGGTTTTTTTTTATAATCAAATGAAAACATCCCTTCTACAGGCAACGTCTGAGATAATGCCCTTAAAGTTAAATTATCACTTAACTGTGTGGATTCCTAGAGGGTTATAAATTTCTAAATGCATTAAAATAAGAACACAGGGGCTGGGCTTTACTTCACTGGCACAGCACTTGTCTAGCACGCCTGAGCCTCTATATGAAGTCTCAAACTCTGAAAAAAAAAAATTTACATTTTTTTAAATGATTGGTTCCTTTGCTTAGAAAGGTATCTTGTTTCATACAGTGATGTCATCATCAGTACACGTGCTGCTACTTCACTGTCTCTGAATCTAATAGTTTATTTAAAAACTCAAATACAGTCTGTAATCCTGGCCCTCAGGAGGTTGAGGGAGAAGGTTCCTGATTTTGAGAGCATGGGCTCCATTATGATTTCAAGGCCAGCCCAGATTACATAGTGAGATCATCTTAAAAACCAAACACAAAAAAAAAAGAAAAAAGAAAACAAAACAAAAGCAAACACCCACAACAGAACAAACATCTTCCAACAGAATTTTTTTGTGTGTGTGTGTCTTTTTCTTTTTTTATCGGTACCGGGGAATCGAAGTCGCGACTGCCTGCTTGCAAGGCAGGCGCTTATGCCGCTGAGCTAAATCCCCAGCCCCTTCAAACAGAATTTTTATAACCTGCTGTTGGACATGATAGAACACACGTGTAACCCCAGCTACTCACACAGGAAGATGAAAAATTTGAGGCCAGTCTGAGCAACTTAGTGAGAACCCGTCTCAAAAAAAAAATGCTTGCCTACCATGCAGGAGGCCCAGGCACAACTTCTAATACCAAAGGGAAAACAAGTGATTTTTATAGTCCAACTATATTTTAATGTCTTCTTACCTCACCTGTTCTTCACTTTTCACAACATCTAAAAACAAACAATCTCAGATGTTAAACACACATATCCCAAACATAAATTTTATTAGCTGGTTTTGTGAGCATAATTGCACTCCAGATACTGACTCTAAAAGAACTAGAAATTTATTAGAATACTGTTTAAATGATCCAATTCACAATGTAAGAAGAAATAATGATCCTCCTCTACCAAACTGGTGGCAATAATATGCCAAGTTTCCTATGCTGAACTAGGGTAAACAAGGAAAAAAGAGCTGGAATGGAAACCAGGCAGGCAAAAAAAAAAAAAAAAAGTTCTCCTCCAGATATAACTTTAAAATTTCACAAAAGTTTCTCTCAGTATTCAACCACCCCTAATCGCCCTCTAAACACTACAGCTTGGTGGCCAGAAAACTACACTAAGCTGCACTTCCCTGCCTGAGCTCATCTGGACACAAAACATTTCATTCTAAAGACAATGTCCTGCATTCAAGGGCTATCTCTAAATATCTAAAAATCCAATTTTATTCTTGCTCTAATAAATAGCTTTTTAAAAAGGTACTGCACAAGAAAAAAAGATTTTTGGCCATCATCTTGGTTCCACCACAGCTACAAGGCTCTCTTTTAAAGATGATCACGTCCTTGAGAGCTAGGTAAGGAGTGGAGGGGGGGAAACTAGGCTTACAGCCTCTTTTCTGTAACTGCTTGCGGCATTCAGTGGACTGAGAAATAAAGGAGAGCTTGGCTGTGCGAGCCATGCCAAGAGAAACAAGATTCCACATGTCAGGAGACTAAAGGCCCAACACAGAGCAAAGGGCACTCACCCCATTGCTGTTTCGCCCAAAGACAGTGTAGTTGCTTCACCTGAAAGCCTTTCAAAGGAACTCAATGGTCTCCAATCCCTCCCTCACCCAGCGTGAACTCAACCACCCCCACTCACAGAGCGGGGAAGCTTTGCTTATCACAAATACCCAGTGCTGCTTCCTAAGCCAAGAAACACTTGTCTGAGTGTGCCAAAGTCTTCGGGGCCAATTCAGTCTTCTACAACCTAACTACAAGCCAAAATTATTTGGTTCCCAGCCTCAGTTAAGCACTCCATTTCCTCAAAGATCAACCTGTTTTCTTTAAATAAGTCCTCAAAGTTCCACAGTTGAACCCTCTCTGCCCAGGGCTCTACTCCCTTCAGAAAGTTTAGTCTCCTAATCATCTCCTCTCCTCCCCCATTTTTTTCCTAACGTTTTCGCTCCAGCAGCGTCCCAGGTCTCACACGCCGCTCCTCCTTTAGTAGACCCCACTCACTGCTCCCTGGCACAACTCTTCCAAAAGTCATCGCCCTCATCGTAACCATTTGCCTTCCTCCAAAATACTGTCTCTTCTCTCTCTCTCCTCGATGGAAACACACACACACACACACACACACGCACACACAAGAGCTAATTCCCAAGTCTCTCCCGTGCCCCGCGGTTTGTCCATGACAACAATCAACCCCGAGAGTTTCGCCCCAATCTTGTCACTCTCCAAGCCCCAACCACACATTCCAAATCCCCAGAGCCCGTGCTTTTTACCTCCAGGCAACACCACATGCTTCTTCTCCCAAGTCTACTAGTTATGCCTCGAAGCCCAGGCCTCCTGCCCTCGGCCCGCGCTTCTCGGGCCCTAATTCCCCACAGACTCGCGAACTACCCCCCCTCCCGTGCAGCCGTGCGGTGCCCGTGGCGCCCAACTCTCCTCCAGCCCGCTCATTCCCCTAATTTCACCGCGGGGCCCCCTAGTCCGCCCGCCCGCCCGCCGCCGGCTCGGTGTCCCCTCCCTTCTCTTCCCCGGGGCCCCGAGGCCGCGGCGCGGTGGGGCCGCTCACCAGTTGGTCATGTCCAGGAAGAAGGCGCAGCCGGCCGGGTTGAGCTGGAAGCCAAGCAGCCGCTGGAACTCTGAGATGAGCACGTCCTTGTCGGTGGTGCCCAGACAGCTGAACTTTTGCATCAGCTCCGGGTCCAGGTCCATATCCATGCCCTCCATGGCGGGGCCCGGACACGAGCTTTTCCACCTCCTCACAACCGAGCCACACCGCCGCGCCACCGGGCTCGGGGACCCGCTGCTAAGCGGCACCGCGACCCCGCTCCTCTGGAGGTAGGCCCCTGGCCTCTCACCGCCTCATAGGGGTAAACTCACTCAGCCACTCACTCACTCTCGCGCTCCCCCCCCTCCCACCCCCCCCAGCGCTGCGGCCGCCGCCTCCTCCGCCGCCGCCTCTAGCTCTTCATCCGCCTCCGCCTCCTCCCGCGCCGCGCCCACTGCGCACGCGTCGTCGCCCTAAGCCCCGCCCCTTCCTCTCTCAAAGGCCCGCCCCTCAGTGGCGTCATAACCCCGTGACGTCTCCCGCGTGACCTCACCGTGGTGGAGCGAGGGGACGGGAAGCGGGAAGAAGGAAAGGGCGGACCTAGCGGTGGGGCGAAGGAGGAGGCGGCCCTTGGTCGGGTCCTCTCCCCGCCTCGGCCCCACCCACAAGGGAGGAGTAAGAGCCTGGTGTTGGGATGTCTACACGTGAATCTTTGCCTGGGACACCTCCACCATTTTGCAAGTGAGAAAGTAGAATCCAGGCAAGGGCGGAGACATGGCAAAGTGAAGTAGCAGAATGCGCACAAGACCCAGCGCTCCCAGTCATAGGTGTCTGCCCTCCCGCCCTAGAGGGACTTGTTTGCACTCGCTTTCACGGAGGGATGCTGCTGGCAAGCCCCCGACCTCCTTTGTGAAGATTATTTACGATTTTTCAGTGCAGTTCATGTATGCAACAGTAAGTCTTTAGAAAATAAAGGAGGCCTCAGTACAGTCATAGGGTCAGAGGAACAAAGCCGGGCGTGGCGGCTCATACTTGTAATCCCAGCACTAAGGCTGAGGCAGGAGAATCATTTGCGGTAGGAAACCACCCTGAGGTACAAAGTAAGCTCAAGGCCAATCTGAGCTACATAGTGAGACCTTGTCTCAAAAAGGAAAAAAAAAAAAAAAAAAATCACAGGAACAACGCCCACTCCATCAAGACTAACATTCTCAAGATACAAGTTAGGTCATGAGACTTTGGCAAATTTGTCTATAAAATCCAAGGCAAAGTATTGCTGTATACCATGTGGTGCACATATCTGGTTAAGGTTCCATTTCAAGATCAAATAATAAAAAAATCAATAAAGAATCCTCGAGACTTGTTTACCCTTTCTGTCAGTGAGTGTTTTCTAAACATCACTTGTTGCCTCATACTGCTAGCTGGGGTTTGAGGAGGAAGATGAGGAAGAAATGCCTCCCTTCAAGTAGCTCTGTCTAGGTTAGGATATGAGAAGTGTGAGTCAGAGTTTACATGCCTCTTCCAAAAATACAGCGCAGCAAAACTAGAACCCAGCTTTCTGATTCCTGATGAAGTGTGTTTCCCGTACCAGTTTCAACAGAATAAATCGAGAGAGGTGACTGGTAATGTGGGGTGCCAGGATGTTTTAAAAACAGAAAACATCTTACCTCCTCTGTCCCACTATCAAATAAAAATTAGTAAAATAGATTTTTAAAACATAGATTGTTGGGGCTGGGGATTTAGCTCAGCGGCATAAGCACTTGCCTTACAAGCAGGCGGTATAATCCCAAATTCGATCCCCGGTACCCATTAAAAAAAAAAAAAAACAGATTGTTAGGGACCAGGTACATAGCTCAGTGGTACAAGAACTGCCTGGCAAGCACAAGGTCATGAGTTTGACCACAGTACAAAACACACACACACACACACACACACACACACACACACACATAAACTCTGTTGTTGGGCCAAGGATATACTCAGTTGCACAAGTGCCTGCCTGACAAAAGCAAGATCCTGAGTTCGATTCTTGGTACGAAAAACAAAAGGTGAGCTCAAGGCCAGCCTGCACTACATAGCAAGACCTTGTCTCAAAAAGACAAAAAAAAAAAAAAAAAAAAAAAAAAAAAATTCCTAGATACTGGGTTCACACATGTTTGGGGTTCAAATTCTCTTTCTACCAATTAGTAATAATAATAGGGGCTGCTCAGTTAGGATTTTTCAGAGGTTTAAATGAGGTAACAGTATAAACTCAGTATGAATGATAACTAGTATTATAGCAATGAACTTGAGATACCTGTGAATTAGATGACGATGATACGAGGAGGCAGGAATTGCTTGTTAACCTATTCTCTTCTATTTCCCTTCCTGTATTCCTCTATTAAAATAAAAATGCAGCTGAAAAAGGTGGCACATGCTTGTAATCCCAACACTTAAGTGGTTGAGGCAGGATGATCTCCATGAATTCAAGGCCAGCCTGAGCTACAAAGCAAGACCCTGTCTCAAAAAAAAAAGGTAAGCTATGAAAAATGTGTTGTTTCTGTTTCTTATTTGTTCTGTCTCCATATCCTTGTATGAAACACCTTTAATAGCATATGATAATAAATAAGATTTATAAATTCATACTATGTAGTAGTTTTTTGTTTGTTTTGTTTTTTGTGAGACAGGGTCTAGCTATACAGTTCAGGCTGACCTTGATCTTACTATGTAACCCAGCCAGGCCTCCAACTCATGACAATCCTCCTGCCTCAGCCTCCCTAGTGCTTGAATCATAGGTATGTGCCGCCACACCTGGCTAATACTATACAGTAGTTAAAAACATTTTATGAGAATCTATTTTTGACCTTCTAAAACCTGTGTGGAAGTTTGAATCATTGCCATGAGCTAATTTTTTTTTTTTTTGTATCAGGGATCCAGCTAATGACCTTATGCTTACTAAGCAAGTGCTTGAACCACTGAACTCAATCCCCAGCCCCATTTTTGTGTAGTCACAATGTAGGTATATTTCACTAATATTAAGAAAAATTCAGCTTCCCTCAATGTGAGCACAGACTTATGGATGGTGGAATGGAAACAAAAAAAAAAAAATCTCAGCATTAAAATTTAAAAGAAGCTGGTTGTGTTTACACACACCTGTAGTCCCAGCATTTGAGAGGCCAAGGTAGGAGGATCATTATGAGTTCTAGATCAGCCTGGGCTATAAAGTTAGCTCAAGGCCAATCTGAACTGTGTAGTGAGACTCTATCTCAAAAAGACAAAAAATAAATAAATAAATTTTTAAAAAATAGAGTTGAAAAGAGCCAGGGATTTAGCTTAGTGGCATAAGTGCCTGCCTGACAAGTGCAAGGTGATAAATTGGATGCCCAGTACCAAAAAAAGTAAATAAATGAATTAAGTTGATAAGAACTAAACTATAGAGTCCAACCTCCTCATTTCATAGAGAAAATAAATTGAAACCCAGAGAGGAAATTGGCCTAAGAGCATACAGCTAATATGGGATTTCTAAATTCCCAGCCTAGTACTCCATCCACTGTATCATGCTACATTTACTTTATACAGTGAGTTCAGTTTGAACCTTACATATAAAACTACCAGAAATATTTGACCCAATAACTAACTTGATATTAAATCACAAACTTCCTAGGAGATGGTTTAACTTGCAGCATCCACAGATTAAAGTTGTGCTGACCCACAATCAAAAAGAAGATGTTAATTGGAAGCTGGTGACTGCGTTTTGGAAGACTGATTCTAAGGAGGCTGAAAATTCTTGACAGATCCATGCTGTACAAGATCTTAGCTCACACCTACAGTGCATAATGCAAAGAAATTCCTGCAAAGAGACCCCCCAGGGGTCAGCACTTTAGTGTATTGAGGGAACAGTCTTAGAGGAGTAGGGTCATCCTCAAGGGAATTCTGAAACCTCTGTGTGGAAATGTATGATCCTCACGGACTGGAGGTGCTACACCAGTACTTGGAACAGCTGGCACCATGAAGAACTGTCCCTCTCCGCCTTAGTCTGTTTGGGCTGCTATAAGAAAATACCACATAGATGTTCACTTTCTATGTAAAAAACAAACAAACAAACAAAAAACAATAAATAAGAAAATACCACAGCAAAAAAAAAAAAAAAGAAAGAAAAGAAAAGAAAACACCACAGCACATCAAAATCAAGGGAAGAACCCTTCCTCCAAGTAGGACATCCATAGAAAAATGGGATTGTAAGGATTATTAACATAACTATGGTTCCATCCTAATGACTCTGTAACTTCTTCAGAGGGGTTTTTATTTTGCTTTGAAGCCAGCCTGAATATCTGGTTGAGGGGCAAAGAGACAAATTGCTGGATACCATCCTAGGTAGGAAAGCACAGAACTTGCTCCAAGAGGGCTTTCTAGAAGCTGGGTATGGTGGTGCCTGACTATAATCCCAGCGCCATGGGAGGTAGACGGGAGTGGGGGTGGGGGGTCGGGGGGTCAATTTCTAGCCTTTTCTTTTGCTGTCTTTTTTGAGGCAGAATTTCACTAGATGGTTCAGGCAGGCCTTGAACTCACTTTACAGTCCAGGCTGGCCTTGACCTAGTGGAGATTCTCCTACCTCATTCTCCCAAATGCTGGGATTGCAAGCATGTGCCACCAAGGCCCCCTGGCAATTTCTAGCCTTTTAATGAGACCCTCCTTGACTCTAAATAAATAAATAAATGCTGCTAGGTGTGTAACAGGGATTTGGAATCTAGGCCCACAGATGCTCAATAGATAACTAAAAGCAAAATAAAGCTTTTTAAAAAAAATTGTAGGATTTGGGATTTAGCTCAATGGTTTGTCTGCCTGGCAAGTGTAAAATATTGCATTTGACCCCTAGTACCAAAAAAAAAAAAAATGTAGTTAGGCTTCTGTAACCCTTAATCTGAGGCAAAAGGATCAAACCAAACTTAAAGGCTGATCCTGTCTCAAAAAAAAATTGTTTTTTAAAAACTTTAGTACACATTTGTAGTATTAGGGCCTATGTTCATCACGAGGAATTGGTACATGTATACAACACATCTTAAGTCTTTTTCTTTCCCTTTCCCGAAATAGAGCTTGAAGTTTCTGCCTTCGTTTTATATGTCACCTTGTTAACTTAAAGCCTTGAATCAGAGGCCTGCTCAGCTCTGCACAAAGGTGTTAATCACTGAAGGAGCATCTGTGTTACGAGGCTTAGCAGCCCAAAGTTTACCTCACCCACCTACTTTTCAAGACTGAGGGCACCAAGATAAAGTAGCTATAGTGATGTTCAGGATGCCTCATTGCCAGCTTTTCTAACATCTGGGTCTAGAGCCCCGGGGCCAATGCCTACAACTCTCAAGTCCTTGTCCCAACCTGCAGCCACCTCAGATTCCAAGAA